TGTGCAGTTATGCTACGTTCACGCAGCAAAAGCAGCAAAATCGTGTCTGCTGCTTCCTTTTTGCTGCTTGTACCAGTTAGTTCTGACGCGGCTGAAGCAGCTTTGCTGCTCTGGCTGCAAAAGTGTGTCTGAGGTGCGTTGGGCGGAGCTTCACTATCCTTTCTCTGCCTTGCAGCTATATTTGCTGTGATCAGTGGGAATAAAGTAGTTTTAATATGTTTTTAAGTGAGAAAATACACCTGAAAACTTCATCAGTGCAGTCAGTTAATTCAGATTATTATCCTGCCTTCAATATTTTTTCTGTCGGAGCCGCTCAGACCCCCACATACCAGGGATGCGCCGACAGTATGGATCCCTTCATCAGCAGCGGTTCACCGCGGCAGCTGGTAGGTGTTTTTCATCTAAATAATCCAAACTGCATTTCTGCCGGCAGATTTCTGCATTTTAAGTTAATTTAGGCGTCAATAAACTGTTTAAGAGGAGAGATCATCAGCGCTGTGTCTCTCTCCCTGCGTTAAACGCACCCGACGCGCTGCTGCAGCCGCTCAGACGTGCTGCGCCTGCATCTCAAAACGCGCCGCAGGACCTTTTGCTGCGCCTTGATGCGCGTCAACCATTGACTTTGCATGTAAACTCGCTGCTTCTGTCGCGCCAGCTACATCCAGTGTGAACGCAGCATTAGTCATTCGCTGCTAAGCTCAAAACAACCGCGCCTGGCTTGACGGAGAAACCAGGAGAACAGCTGAGCATATTTACGACAGTGCACTTTTACTTTCGCCCTCTGGAGGGAGCCTCACTGGAAAATCAACACCGGTTGCATAGTGTACCTTTAAGGAATGTTTTTCTGAATAAATAGCCTGTAAAAAACAAAACAAAAATTGCATTTGAAATTTTGACATAAAGTAACATTTTCTTGTACCATGAATACCCAACGCTGCAGTAATTCACTGTAAAATACATCATTTGCAGATGTTAACATAAAAAATTGTAAAATATTTTTGCCTGCTTTATACCTTTATATATTATTACCTTTTTTTCACTTTTATATTTTAGGAATTTAAATCCTTAATTTTCTTATTCAGATACTTTTAAAGACATTTTTTTCTTTTTTCGAATATAAATGTTTTTCAAAGACATGATTTCCAGAACTTTTTTTTATTTTCTGCCCTTGAATAATATTTTTTTTCATTTCAGTACAGTAAACTAAAAAGTTGCATACATTGACCTCTGTTCTTTCATTTATTCATTATGGCTCCCAGTAACTTATTAAAATTCACATTTTAACATCAAAAATAACTTTAGACTGCCAAAGTTGTATCAAAAAGGCAAAAGTTTTCAGCAAAACATTTAATTGAAAAGCGAATCAGGTGACATCAAAAACTGTTCTTTAAAAAATAAAAAATGTAGGCATTTATATAATCTCAGTGTAATGTATGTATATATATATATATATATATATATATATATATATATATATATATATATATATATATATATATATATATATATATATATATATATATATATATATATATATATGTGTGTGATTCATTTTTTTTATGTTGCACTGAAAAATATACATATGCCTTTAGAAAAGGAACAAAATGTTCTAATACTTGAACTGTTCTCCCAGCCCATAGGGGGTGCCATTGAGCACTATTTCTTTAATTGCAATCTATATGTTTATATGATGCATACAAAGCCTTCTAAAAAGGAAACGAGATGTGTTATCAGTGGCTTTGTTAGTAAACATTTAGAGGAAAACACTTAACACTGTTTTCATGTGTTTATAAGTGTGAAATAGCTGTTGATTATTGAATCACTTGCCACTAATGTGAGGTAAATATCTGCAAAATACTGCAGATTAATTGTCTTTCAACCCACATCCTTCCTTAGACAACTGCTGCCTCTTGGATATTAGCAGCCATTACAATCTTCCCTTGAAGTGTGCTGTGTTTCCCTGCCTTTCTTTGTGTTTCTAAAGAACATGTTACATATATTTGCTCCCGTTTCCACCAATGATGTATTTTCTATTAAAGCTGACAAGGTAAACCAGACAGCTGACAGCCATATCCCTCTGAGTCCAGTCTGTCTCTTGGCTGCCTGCGTTTTGACTTCATTTCCACCAGCTTACAGTGTGAGCGAGCCGCTGTGTGCATGCCTGAGCGTTACATATTCTAGCTGACACACAGCTTCCCTTAGGGAGGTTTCCTTGACTGGGTCACATGGTAGAACAGAATGGGGGGTGGAAATTATGCTTTGGATCCCATCTCTTCCTCCTTACATGCATGTAGAAAGGTTTGCTTGGCCTTAATCCGCTTGTTGCATGTAGAGAGCATTATGAATGGTGGACATCATCTCCTGGTCAGGAATGGCTATAGAAATAAACAGAAAAGAAATAATGTCCGTCTTACTGACACGGCAAAAACGAAGAATTCCCACGCTTCTAATGGTTTAACATAAACGCTTGTGTTTGTGTTAACCCCTTTTTACTCTGTTACCCCTCAGTTACAATTATTGTAACATAGAAGTCCTAAGCGGAAAGCCAGAGAGATTATGTAAGGGAACACAGGAGAAGACCCATTTAGAAGATTAGGTCACACTGCTGACAGACTGGTAATTAGGTTTTTCCAAGCTTCTGATGTTTCGCACACCACAGCTCCATCTACCATCTAACTATTGTAAAAATCACCTGAAACCTTCCCGAGACTTTCTGCCAACTAAAACTGAGCTCCGGACGAGAGAAATAACCAGATCAGCAGCTCCCACTGAGCTGGGAAAATCCACACCTCAGGTGTTGACGGTACAGCTGTTAGTTTTGTGCTCCACAAATGAGGCTTTTCTGAAAGAGTACCAAGAAGGCTGCCACTTCTGAAAGAGATTTAGAAACATTAAGTTTTTCTCTAGTAAGGAAGAAATGTAACCCAAAACAAATTGCCACTACTTTTATTTCACTCACAATGAAGCATGGTGATGGCAGCATTATGCTGCAATAGTTGGAGTCAGCAGGGAAAATGAAGCGACGCAGACTTATTACGAATTGGAACAAAATATAGGGTACTTTTTTCAGATTTGTATTTATTCCAATTTTAAAAAAAAGAAGTTCCTATGTTATGTAAAGTAATGAAATATATTGAGGTTAAATACTTGTACATATTTAAAGTACTTTCTCCATACAGCCTGGGTTGGGAGGAAGATTTCTATTTTCTTTTTTTTTTTTACTCCTTTAAGAACTGCGATATGTATAAACAGATAGACCCCCTGAATGGACCAAACCAATTTAACAAACTACGACACTAATTTACTTTATTTATACTATTTAAATGTGTTATTAAATCTTTAAGGGAAGCAGTTTGTGGTTAGGATTCTAGTGTTTGTCATTCAGATAGGGATCCCTGTAGAAGATTATGGCAGGCCGCTTTAACATTTATTAACTTGACTGAATATGTAGTCCAGATGTCTCAAACAGATTTCTTCCTAGTCATAATTACATTTCAGATATCTTAAATAACAATCTTCCTATCTAAACTTTTTTTTTCATATATCTAAAATAAAATTATGACCAGTAACAATTGGATTACAGAGACCTGAAATTCATTTTTAGACAGTCAGAATGTTTATTTTAGATAGGAATAATATTATTTTGGATATCTGACAGTAACAGCCGAATACACATGTATGGGGGAAAGTGGCATCATTTGTACAAGTAAAAATTATATCTGAAATGTTCATTCAAGATAGGAAGAATACTATTTAAAATATCTGAAACACATATCCGGTTAAGCGAAAAAATTTGATTCCAGATTACTTAAAGTTAAATTTCTACCGGTAGAAATGTTATTAGTGATATCTAAAATACAATTCTGACTAGGAATTGTGACTAGGTAGAATGCTTTAGTGCTTTCTCTAATATAAATGTGACTAGTCAGCCTGCCTATTTTTTATGCTATTCAAAATATGTTTTTAAGTATATAAAACTGCATTTTGAATAGGCATTATTAAAATGTAGATATCTGAAATCATAATTTAACTAGCCATATCAACAATTGATGAATCTGTGATGACATTTCTACTAGCAGAAATATATTTTTTGATGTCAATAATTGGATTTCTGGATATCTAGAATGTTATATTCATTTTTTATATCTGAAGTTGTATTTTTTACTGGTAATAACTGTATTATGGAGATCTAAAACTGGAGTTCTTCTTCGTCAAAATTCTGTTTTAGATAGGAGAATTGTTTATTTTAGATAGGAAGAATGTTATTTTAGATAACCGCAAGTAAAAGGCTACACCCTACACATGAATGGGTAAACGTTCATGTGTATTAATTTGTACCGGTAAGAATTACATTTCATATATCTGAAATGTTTATTTTAGATAGGAAGAATGTTATTTTAGATGTCTGAAATGTTCATTTTGACTTGAAAGAAATACATTTGAGACATTTGAATTATATATTCAGTCAAGCTAATAAATAATAAATTTCAAAATGGCAACCTAAACTTTATAAAGATTTCTATATATCTCTAAAGTTAATTCTTATATTTTTTTTATAATTTTTATATATATTTCTTGCTGGCAAAAAATTTATTTAGGATATCAATATTTACAGTTCTGACTAGTAGGAATGTAGATTTGACCAGGAAGAATCTTAATTTAGAGATCATAATTGGAACAAAAGGGAGGATAGTCTTTCTAATAAATGTCAAATCGGCCTGCCATAGCTTACATGCTGCCACCTACTGCTGATGGTCGGAAAAAACATGAATTCATTGAACCCGCTGAACTTCTAGTAAGCTAAAAAAAATGGGGAGTAATACTGTATTGCATAAACTCCTCGCTTTTATAAATGTTCTATGAATCTAATACATTTGAATGTGCTTCATTTGTTCGACTGTGGTGGGAAAAAGGAGGAGCAGGAGTGGGTGGATGGGGGCGCAGTCATCGTTTAAAAATGGTGAAAAGCTGAGCACTGCGCATGCGCGCAGATTTGAAGAGACTACGCCATATTGGATTCCCGTAGGTTTCACAGCATTCTTAGCAGCTTACGAGGAACAGTTTTTATTAATGGTCCCGTTATCAGTTTAATTTTTTTATTTATTTCACCTCTCGCAGCAAAACCCCGAACAGTACAGCGAGCCACGTTAGATCCAGGCAGCGGCGCAGATTCAAAACGGGCTCGCTTACGACAGGTTACTTGTCGGGGGAGGGGAGGGGGGGGAGGTTACCAGTCATCGGACTTGAATGGATCCGAGGGTAGCTTGGATCCAGCCGGAGCAGAAAGGACCTGCGAACGCCTTATGGATGCAAATCTGGGAGACCTCTCAGGGAGTGAGGACGCTCTCCGCTCACAAGCCGAGCCACGCTCAGTGTGTGAGCTATGCGGCTTTAATGGCTTTAAATAATGCGGCGGCATCGTGCAAGAGCGTCCGCAGCCCCAGCAACGGCCGGAGTAACGGCAGCGGCCATCGCGGCGTCGTGAGCTGCTCCGCGAACAGCAGCGGCAGTACAGGCGGGACACCGATGTCCAACGGGAACCTCCCAGCGAAGGAAGACACCGAGGTAAAGACGCCGATCCAGAAGCCTGCTTCTGCCTCCCAGGAATCGGGGACAGAAAGTCCCATTTCTAGCAGCTCGCTCTACGAAAGGACCTCGGGTGGAAATGTGGGGGGGATCGGCGGTGGCGATCTAGGCGACAGCGTGGAAAACGACGCCGACCTGTATCATCATCAACGCAACCTGGACGCTTTTAATCTGCAGCGGATCTGCGCGAAGCAGCATCAGGTTCACTCCGCTGCAGCGGATCACCACACACTCGGTCTGCATCCGGACCGGAGGAAAAGCGACAACAAGGCCAGCACCTATGGGATGAATTACCTGCTTTCGAACTGCACTAATGGAAATCATGTGAATTGGACGCCGTGGAAGAAGAGGAAATACAGCTCTGGAGTGCTCGGGTGAGTAACGCCTGTCTTTCTGTCCACTATTCAAGACTTTTAGCTTACATTCATCAAAATATGTTTAACTAAATTAAAAAAGTACAACAACACAGTGGAGTAGTTAACCGTTTATTTAATACCTCTGGGTTTTTTTTTCTGCTTTCTGTCCCTTAGCTGGACTAGCAGGCGTACTGCCGTTGAGCAGCGTACGTGAACGCAGCAGCCGCGTTCAAATTCTCCACTTGTTCCATACGTAGCGCTGTTCTGTCAGAGACCAAGTATGGCAGGCCGTTTTGACATTTATTTATTCATTTGTTGATCTCTAAAATAAGATTCTTCCTATTCAAAACTACATTCCTATTAGCCAGAGATGTACATATACCGTAGATATCCTTAATTACATTTTTGCTGGCAGAAAGTACATTTCAGGCTGCCAAAAATATGATTGTACTAGTAAGTCTAAACTTTCAAATATCTAGAAATCTTTACAAATTTTAAGTGGCGTTATTAAAATTGTGATATCTGGAATTGTAATTTAACTAGTCATAGAATAAGTAGATGATGGCTTTAATTATATTTGTGCTAGCATAATTATATTTTAGATGTCAAGAATTGGATTTCTGGATATCTGTAATGTTATATTAATTTTTGATAACCGAAATAGTATTATGGAGATCTGAAATTAGAATTCATCCTTTTAGGTCATTTTAGATAGGAAAAATGTTTATTTTAGATATCTGGAAGTAAAAGCCCAATACACATGAATGGGAAACGTAATGTCATCTGTACTGGTATTTAAGGTATCTGAAATGTTAATTTTGAATAGGAAGAAATTCATTTGAGACATGTGAAATATATATTCAGTCAAGCTAATAAATGTCAAAATGGCCTGCCATAAACATACCCAGTCATACCAATTTACCCCTTTAGTTTAACCCTAATTACCCCTTTAGTTTATCGCAGTTTACCTCTTTAGTTTATCGCAGTTTACCCCTTTAGTTTATCGCAGTTTACCCTTTTAGTTGATCGCAGTTTACCCTTTTAGTTTATCGCAGTTTACCCCTTTAGGGTCTCGCAGTTTACCCCTTTAGTTTATCCCAATTACCCCTTTAGTTTATCCCAATTTACCCCTTTAGTTTATCCCAATTTACCCCTTTAGTTTATCCCAATTTACCTCTTTAGTTTATCCTAGTTTACTTCTTTAGTTTATCCCCATTTACCCCTTTAGTTTATCGCAGTTTACCCCTTTAGGGTCTCGCAGTTTACCCCTTTAGTTTATCCCAATTACCCCTTTAGTTTATCCCAATTTACCCCTTTAGTTTATCCTAGTTTACCCCTTTAGTTTATCACAATTTACCCCTTTAGTTTATCACAATTTACCCCTTTAGTTTATCCCTTTTTACCTCTTTAGTTTATCCTAGTTTACCTCTTTAGTTTATTCCCATTTACCCATCAATTTATCCCCGTTTGTCCCTTTAGTTTATCCCTGTTTACCCCTTTAAAGTCTAACTTTCGTACAAAACTAAATGAATAAACTAAACAACCTCAACAGACGTGTATCCCTTTAGGGATGTACAAAAAACTATTTAATGACTTTATTTTTTTGTGTTTGTTTTTTTTTTTTTTAAGCGTGTGGCGATCTGACCTTAAATTGTTTTGTTTTTTTTGTACTTGACTGAAGGGATATACGCACATTGATGTAGTTTAAAGTCTATTTTTCGTACAAAACTAAAGGGATAAAAGCCAATCTGACGTCTTGTATACTGGTCTGACAGAACAGCTGCTTTACCTGTTTGACTTTCTAGTTTTTAAGCGTTTATTTTCATTATGGTTGGTTGGTTTGCGTGTTACATAAAACTCTATCGCGTTTCAAAGACTAAAACTTGTCAGGTATGGACCAGAATCTTTAAATAAAGAGCAAATGTCAGCACAGAGAGTGTGTCTGCAGCCATGGGCAAGACCGGAAGTGCCCTGGTTTGTTTGCTGGTCACTTACATGGGGATGATGCAAAACTGGTGCATATATTTTTATAAGATGGACATACCTGCTAAGGTTTATGTTAAGTTTTTGGCATTTCTTTCTGGCAGTTGTTTGCATATTATTTCTTTTAGAGATAAAACAAATCCATGTCACTATAACCCGCACTATAGAGTACTAAATAGTTAGGCTGTTGGTTTAATGGCTTTCTTTTCTATCTTTTTCTTTCTTTTTCATTGGCAGGTTAGCTTGCGCTCTGCTGTTAAATAGCTACATGGATCCAGTCGCTGTATATGAATTGTCCTCCTGTTCACTACATAGTGGGCCAAGTAGTTCACTATGTAGTGCATGTGACCTATAAGGTTTGCATAATTCCTGGAAGATTGTGTGTTTCAATCTTTATTTATTTTCAAGACTCTTATTTGACGATAAAGTTTCTCTGAGTTGGCTGTAAATTTGGAAATGACAAATGAGATTTGCTATTTGTAGTAAGTAAACAAGGACATGTTTTGCACACATTAGGGATCAAAGTATTGTGTTTAAAAATCTAAAAATGTCTTGGATTTTATAACCCTCGTTAAAGGGCATAGGTGTAATTTTAATAATTAATTGTGTTTGGAAAGGGGTGGGGAATAAACTTGATTAGAATCATATTTAAAAAAAGAAATTCAAAATTAGTAACAGGTAAATCCAAAAGTAAAAGTTAATTGTTTTCATAAGTGCCTAAATTCTAGAGCCACCTGGAAGTTGATACTATATATGGCAAGAATTGCTACCTAAACATTTAATTCTAACCACAATGGCTATGTGTTATTATGAAGTTTTTATACAAGTATCTTTTTTATTTATCTATCATAGCTTGCTTTATTTGTCATTCTAAAATATTATCTGTTAGTTTTTAGCTCCAATACCCCAGATGGAATTTATCATATTGATACCATTTAGGTAAAATATGGCATTAGCTATAACCATAAGTGATAAAAATGTCCCTCTAACTGTTGAGAAGCCGCCCTAAGAAGGGTTTGATAATCGGGGGAAAAGATTTGCAGGTTTTATCCCTGAATGCTGGAGCGTTTCGCTGTCCCTGCTGCCATAACAGCGTGAGAAACCTGCGGGACCAAATGCTCCTTTCTGTAGTCTCATCCTGTATGCTGTGACATGCTTCCCCCGGTAGAAGCTGGATGTCATTTAAAAGAGCGTTGCTCCAACTGTAGCAGTTTGAGGTAGACGTACAGTAATGCAGCAAAGTGTAATCACATTTTGACCAGGAATATGCAGTCCCATTTTAACAGGATAGTTACAGGGACGGGTCAGGCTAAATGCTGTGAAACTGGGACTATGGAAACTGGCTCTTTTTAATATTTCTGCCCTGGAGGAATTATGAATGCAAGTTATGTGAGAATAACCTCGGTTTTGACCATTCTCCACAGACTCGATGAAGAGGTGAGGGACTTCTACAACTTCATGTGTCCCCGAACTGGAGAGGAATCTATGAGGAAGGAGGTGGTGAAGCGGATAGAGATGATCATCAAAGAGCTGTGGCCTGCAGCTGATGTAAGACAAACACATAGATCTACACCACTTCTATAGCGGCTGGATTTGAGCCTTTCTGAAAAATCATTGTTAGCTCTTCGGTAACAGACGCTTAATCGGGGAAAAAAAGAGCTTTTATTTTTATTTAAGGAAAAGAACAAATTTTCCTGCAGCGAATGACGTTATAGTTCTAAGCGCTGATCTAAATTCTGTGGATGATTTTCAGTTTGACACGTTGGTCCTGCCAATAAAATCTATAAAAATAAACAAAACCAGAAATAAACATTTTAGATAGTTTTTCTCTATACTGATTTTTGGTTAAATAAAATAAGAAACCCAGCAAATTAATGGGAAAATGGTAAATCAGTGTTTAAATGCACTCCCACCTACCTCCTTCTAAAGTTGGATTGTAATATTTGACAATAATTCAAATAAATCTCATATTTCAGATAGCATGGTTAGTCAGACGTGGTACAGTACTCGAGGAAGAGTAGCACTACTTGAACATTTTTTCACTTAAGTAAAAAAGTATTTGGTAGACACATACTTTTAGCTAGGAATATTACATAAGGCAATAGGGTGTGCACTTTGGTGTATCATATCTTTACGCGGTGCATGGGACTGTCCTACAAAGCATTAAAGGGGGGTAAAGGGGTATATTCCACCATAGAAAAGTTTGAAATTTAGACTTTCTGAAATGCTATTTCCTGCATTTTCAGTAGGTATTGTCCCTAAAAAAAATCCAAAATATTCATATAATTTTCAGGTATTTAATGAATTTTCGTAAACTTTTCAAAGTTTTGAGCTTACTTCTTGCGAACAGCATAGCATGCTCGGTCCCACGAACAAAATTGTCCGAAGGGACGTTAGATATTCCACCGTATTTCCATGGGAAATTTAGCCGTACCTCCCCAAAACCGTGTGTACAATTTTTTTATACTTTTAGTAAAGGACGTACAATGTACGCCTGTACGCATTGCTAGCTAATAGCCTGGGTAGAAAGGCTAAAAGACTACTGAGTAATTGTTAGATAATAACATCAGATTTAATGTTTATAAATGATGCTAGCAAACAGACTTTATGTGCAAGTTCTCTCATTTTAAAAACTCGGATGCCTGAAGAATACAAATAAATGAATGTAAATTAACACATTTGTGCAGAAGGAATACTTTTGCCAATTTAGTTTTTCAGCATAAAACATAGAAAATCAAACAATGAGAACTGTATTTATACTCGAACGGGTAAAAAAACGTCCTCTGATAATATCTTTTTATTGTATGTTTGACTTAGGAATAGTTCTATTACTCAAAGAAGACAGAGTAGTCAGAGATTTTACTAAAGTAGGGGTAGAGATACTTTACAAGAATTTTACTCAAGTAGTAGTAAGAAGAGCGATCTGGCAAATTTACCCCTAGAAGAACATTTGTTTCTAAATTGTTACTCAAGTAAATGTAACTAAATACTACCCACCTTTGGTTAGCATTACTGTAAACAACACTTGCTTGGTGTTTCCTTGGTTGATTATAAGCCATTACATTAGAACTGACGTTTCCTAAACTTGTTCTAACCCAGCAGGTTCCCTGACTGGTTAAAAGCACTGGGAACTTGTTTTCTTCATTGTCTTCCTGTTATCATCTTAAAGTCTCGCTCTCTCACAGACACTTCTAAAAAAAAAACATAAAAACACAGTTTTCTTTTAAAAGGCTTTATAAATTTCAGTGACTCTTGAGTTTTTTTTAATTCTGAGGACTGCAAATCCTCTTTCCTCAGTTACAACTTCCATGATGAAGAGTGTTGTTACTTAATCTGTTAAGCTGCGTTCACTGTTGAGTAAAAGAGCCAATATTGAGATTTTAAACAGCAAATCCTGCAACTAGATTTGTTTTCAGTGCATATTCTTTAGCAAAAAATAACAAATTAAAGTATGATGGTTGGAAATGCAAGTTTTCAATTAATTAATTGTTATAAAGTTAATTGATATTGGCCTTCAATGAGTTACCCTTTAATAAATAGTTTTCTCATGTATAAATAGAATCTCACCATTAACATAAGGGCCTAATAATGTTTTTTTTTTTTTCTTTTTTTTTTTTTTCTTTTTTTTTTCTAGTATGATGAGTATAAAAAAAGAAATGAGTAAATCATTATATTTTTAAAATTCTCGTGCCAGCTTTATTAAATGCTGACTGAATAAAAAAGTTTTTCTACACATGATTAAACTAGATGTATTAAGAAGATATAACGCAGGGTTACTAACCTTAGGTCACTAAATAAATAGCTAATTATAATAAGAGAAACTGATTATTTCCAATATAAAGACTTGCATAACTATCGTTAAAAGACGGCATGTGTCACTAACAAACTGTCAGACTATTTACCACCTTGTTTCAATGAAGTTAACGCTAACTGTGACGCGTAATCCAGCATTCAGTGCTGTGAGAGAACTTTGGCTGTTAGCAGCGCCTTTAAACATGTGGCGATACTAAGGTATTAACTGAAAGAGTTTATCATATGCAAACAGAATGGCATAAAGTTGATTTTGTAGCCATTAAAGAGAAGAAATAATCTCAAATCTGGATTTTTTCATGTTTCACACATGCCTCCACGCTGGCATTACTTCTCTTGCAAATACAAGTAAAACTCTGGTTAAGAATGAACAGCAGCACCCCCTAGTGGACAGGGTAACATTACAATTCTAAAAAGGAAGTTTTTTTATGCAAATATTTTTAATTAATCAAATGGAATAATGTTAATCTTATAAACCATTAATAGACATTTAATCGCAAGTCGATTGTTTGCATCCCTTTTTCAGTTCGGGATCATATGTGAATTACAGTTTTCACCTCTACGAAGGATTTTAATCAAAGCTTTTACCTGTGGTTGTTACTCAAAACAACTAGAACCAATGTGGAGCTTTTAGAAACATCAAATCAAGAGAAAATTGCTAAAAATCTTTATTTTTTATCTGTTCAATAGGAATTTATCCAGATATTTGAAAACACCTTGTGGTGACTAGCGGTATTGCATACCAATATGCTTCCACATCCCAAAACAAAGAAATATATTTACATTTTTCAAAATACTTTTTTTGGCCCAAATTGACAAAAATCGATTACTTTATTTTTTTAACTTAAGGTGAATTTATTTAACTTATTCTTAAATTACTGCTTTAGTAATACCTGAATATTTAGTTTTATTTACAAAAAAAAACTACGATTAAACTACATTAATATAAGAATAAAGAAGCTTTTTTTTATAACTGAATATATTCTCAGCTCTCGCATATATTTAAATTTTAATACATCACTTAATGGTTTAGGGCTTATATGATGCAGTGGAAGGGTTGCTCAGCGCGCTGAGATTGACATCATTACTTAACGGCGTAAAGTGTGAGCGCCGGCGATTCATTGGCTGCCAGCTTTTCCCACTTCCACTGCGAAGCCGCATTGTCAGATAAATGGGCTTGAGTCTGGCATCTGTTTCTGCTTCCTTTTTCCATTTCAGCCTGTTATTCCTGGCCTGTCCCTATGCCGCTGCCTTGTCGTGTTTAACAGGAGGAAAGGGAAAGAACTTCATTCTGCTTCCTTTGAGAGCTTTTACTTGGAACCCCAAAGCCCAGCCTTTTGTTCCGAAACCTTTGTGTACTTCATTTGGCTCCAAACCCAAGCTGGCACCGCTTAACTTCTCCCAAGTGGAACCCAGAAATGCCTTGTTTGTTGAACTGTTCAGACTTCGAGCTGGATGTTTCATCACGACTTAAAAATGAACAGTTAGAACTCTGTAATCCTCATGCTGGGATTATCTTCACCAGTTTCTCTGTTCTGCAGTAACAGTGTCGTCTCTATCATAATTTTATTAGGTCCAGATATTTGGCTCCTTCAGCACCGGGCTCTACCTTCCCACAAGGTAAGGCTTTGGAGAAGACACGCTGTCAGTTGGAATCCAGCTGCATTGCTAATATTAAACGTTGCTCTTTCCTTCCTTCCCACAGCGACATAGACCTGGTCGTGTTAGGGAAGTGGGAGCGCCCCCCGCTGCAGGAGTTAGAGCAGGCTCTTCGGAAACATAACGTGGCAGAACCCTTCTCCATTAAAGTCCTGGACAAGGCTACGGTGAGTAAAGGCTTCACTTCTAAAGGCCGCTCGGATTGGGCCGATGATCCTGACGTTCGGGTCTCTCTTTCAGGTGCCGATCATCAAGTTGACAGACCAGGAGACCGAGGTGAAGGTGGACATCAGTTTCAACATGAAAAGCGGCGTCAATGCGGCGAGCTTCATTAAGGAATACTTAAAGGTGAAAGATGCTCTGGGAGATGTTCACATCCGTCTTGCTGGTGCATACAAATGCAAAAGACAAGCCGGCTGTGAGTCTCTGGCTAAATCAGATCAGCTGCCAAATCAAAATACATACAGATGGAGGAATGGAACAGAGGAAGGTCATGTTGACGTATTAAAATAGATGCAAAGAGCTGCTCGTGTCCCTTAATTATAGATTTCAGGGTTTAAATAGAACTTTGGAAATTCCCTCTTTGACTCCGCTAGCAGTTTGAGGCCTTACCCTGCTCTCCAGTTGGTCTGGCTCATCCCCATCTGGCTGGGTGAAGCTTTCACCTCTCTGCTCTAGGTGAATTCCAGCTGAGGGCGGAGCTCCTGCTGTGTCAGGTGCAGCTGATGTGGGAGAGGGGTTTCTGCAGCTTCTGTTGAAACAAGCTGTCAGATCCGTTCTTTTGTCCGCTACCGGTTTTCACCTTGTTCACTGTTGTTCTGCGGGAATGCATGTCACAGTCAAGCGGGGACGTGTGCTTGCATGGCTTTGATTGACGGCTTGTCTCAGAGGTAACTAGGTGTTCTGCTTTCAGGCAGTCCATGACGTCCTGTTATCTTCTTAAATAGGAAGTAAGCATGAGTCCTTCTTTAGCCAGCAGGCTTTGAAGTCGTAGGGAAATCGCATTTAAATGTCAAATCGTTCTGGCTTAAACATTTATATAAATGTACTCTTTATCAGAACATATTGTCCCAAAAATGAGAAAATTTCTATCTAAAAAAAATTCTTTCTTAAACTCTGTGCTTTTTTTTTTATTATCTTATGCAGGCCAGTTAGTTATACAGGGTTCCCGCGGGTCCTTAAAAAGTCTTAAAAGGCATTGAATTCTTCAAAATAAAACTAAGGCCTTAATTGGTATTAAAATGTCTTAAATCAGTCTTTCGTAGGTCTTAATTTTTAAGACATCATAAATAGGATTATTTTTATTACGATTTATTTTTGTAATCTAAATAAAACGTTAAAATTGACAATTATTTAAAAAAAATAATAAAATAAGGGCTCGCCATTATTGGTTCCGTCCCGATAGCGGAACCAATAAAAGCGTTGTTGCGGCCGGGACATTTGGGAGATGCGCCATTAACTTTTTGTCTGGAAAATATGAGCAAGTGTAAATGTAACGAAAATTGTCTCCAGCCAAGAGTTTTCTCCATGGCTAAAACCAGGGAACATACATGAGGCTCAGTGGATTTTGTGCAAGAAGTCATTCAAGCTCGGAACGATGGGAATTAAGGCAGGGGAGTCGCACACGCAAAGCACGAAACACAAAGCGTCAAAATCCAGTTACCTAGAAACAGCCGGTATTTCTCGGTTTTGTTCCACCCTTGTCTCTGCAACGCCTCCACTTATCACCAAATCAAACATACTAAGAAAACGATACAAAGAAAAATAGCTGCAAAAAAGACTTAGCACTGGTTATGTTGTGGCTTTAAAACTGATTTGTTTTGTTCCCTGCTAAAACAAAGTTTGTGAATTCAGTTAAATAATTGTTGAAATATATGTCATTTGTGTGTTTTTAGCTTTCTTCCTGTATGGAACGTTTTTAAAATTTGAAACATTAGTGCAGTGGTTTATGCTAAAATAAACCTTTGGGTTAAGTTATCGCAAGCGGGGTTTTAAATTTGGCCTTCAATTTTTATTTCAAGTGGCATTAAAAAGTCTTAAAAAGTCTTGAATTTAACTTGCCTTATGCTGTAGGAACCCTGTTATACGTCAGCTTGTATACCTAAATTCGGCCAGTCATATATCAGCCTGCTGACTGGCAGTGTGCAGCCTTCCTGTTTCGTGCTGATCTCTGGCATCTAATTAAACGAAGCAACAGAAGTTAAACCTTTTCATGCGTAACGAACAAAGGATATTGCTTCCAAAAGCTTTTTATGTTCATGGTTTGTTGTTGGGCTCACATGAGGATGTTCAACTTAAACTTCCTGATGGCGTTGATCTAAAACACTAGAGTTATTTAATTATTGTGACAACGTAGAGCAGCACGCTTTGTGACTCTAAAGCAAAAAGAAGCAGAATCTTATGAAAATATTTTAAACCCTTTATTTAAATCCAGAGCAGTAATAGTTCTTTATTTTTTCCTCTTAAAATTCCAATCAAGTTTGATAATGTTATTGTTTTAATCCAGCTGGAGCAGCCTTCTTCCTTCCTCTGACTTAATCCTCCTCCGTGCAGATTTAAGCCTTTCTCACCGTCGCCCTGTTTCTGCCGTCTCTTCCAGAAGTATCCCGTGCTGCCTTACCTGATCTTTGTGCTGAAGCAGTTCCTGCTGCAAAGAGATCTGAATGAAGTCTTCACTGGGGGCATCAGCTCTTACAGCCTCATCCTTATGGTCATCAGTTTCCTGCAGGTATTGTCGCATATTAAAGAGAACAAAAGGGGGCAGTGTTTCTTCAGCGTCTGATTATTAGTGGTGTCCATTTAGAAATATTGGCTAAAAGTCTCCTCCCTCTGCCTCCTCCTCAGCTTCATCCACGCATCGATGCCAGAGACCCCAACCAGAACCTTGGCGTGCTGCTGATCGAGTTCTTCGAGCTCTACGGCCGCAATTTCAACTACTTGAAAACGGGGATCCGCATCACGAACGGGGGTGCGTACGTCGCCAAAGAGGAAGTAATGAAGACCATGACGAATGGATACACGCCGTCTATGCTCTGCATAGAGGACCCACTGATTCCAGGTGGGTCCATCACAACCAAGAGGAATCCGGTTCTCGTTAAATTAGTGTTAAAAGCTTGTGGCTTTGGCAGAACTCTACTTTTTATTATGTAAACTGGAGGAAAAAATTAATTAGTAGTGTTTTTTTTTTTTCCATTGTCCTGCAGGCTGCTTTTAAAGAAACACCAAAGATTTATAGATGTGTATTCTTTTTGGTTTTGCTGTTGCGCTGCCATCATGCCGGCCTGCTCTGTTTTCTTTTTTCCATTCTGATGTTATCTGGTTTGAATTTCTCTGAAAGGGTTGGAACTATTCCTCTCTTGTCTGATGCCTGGAAAAGAAATGTTACTTAAGAGAAAAGCAGCTTTTTGGAGCCATTTGGAAGAAGAGACTTTTTATCTACTATTTTTCTTAGGACAGAAATTTGATTTCATAATCGTATCGTTTGGTTTCATGGTTTTATATCAACAGAACATCAGTAAATTACGACCGTATTTATGTCCTTTAATGTTTTCTTTCCCACCATGTAGGCAATGATGTGGGGAGGGGCTCTTATGGTGCCATGCATGTCAAGCAGGTGTTTGACTACGCCTACACTGTTCTAAGTCACGCCGTGACGCCGCTTGCCAAGTCGTATCCCAACAAATACTGTGAAAGGTGGGAATTCGGCTTATTTGCGATTTTTAAAAGTGTTTGATTTTCATGTATCACAGAGATGCTTATTGTAAATTTTCCGTTTGATCCACAGCACGCTCGGGAGGATAATTAGATTAACCCAAGAAGTCATTGAATACAGGGAGTGGATTATCAATAAGTGGGGAGGCAAGGATTCACCGCAAGTGGAGAACAGAGGTAGGTTTTTTTAATTTTATGTTTGGTTTGCAGCTTAGTCTCAATCTGTCCTTAACCTCTCCTTCTTCTGTAGCTGCCTCTCCTAAGGAGCCGGTTTCAGAGCAGGAGTCGTGCGTCCTGGGCGGCAGCATTGTCGCTTCGGAGGAGCAGCAGAGGGACTCGGTGTCGCCTCACAGCGCCGACTCTCCCATGTCGATCTCCAGCCCCAAACAGCACTCATCAGCCTCGTCGGTTTCCTCGCTGTCTGGATCCGACAACGTAAGACCAACATTTGAATAACATTGCATCAAAGTGTCGTTCAGGTTGTTTCTCTTGTCACTCATCACGTTTTAAAACGTTTTTGCTGACTCGCCAGGACTCTGATTCAGCACTGCCGTACTCCCTCCCTCCACCGACCCTGTCAGCATATGCCTCCTTCCCGGCCCTCGGCCTCGCCTTGCAGCCGGGCATTCACTTGGGCACCGGAAAGCACGGCATGGGAGGACACCATCTGCTCCTTCCTCCAGTGTCACAGGTAGGCGCCGTCATGACTGCAGGCCTAAAACAAAAACATTGTACCACAAAAATACCATCACAGTTTGTTGGAATAAATCAGAAAAAAATCCCTCATAGTATAAAGTGGAATCCAGGCTTTATAGAGTTTTCTTCTTTCCTCTCCAGGCTCACGTCTCGCTGCCCAGCAGTCTAGCATTGCACTCCATGCCTGGCAGACAGGTGTGTATGGACACTGGGCTCCCCCCCTTCTACCACATGCCCCCCCCAGCCCATGCTCATACCCCTGCCCCTTCCAGCCCCCAGCCTCCGCTCAGCCCCCACTCCAGCCACACGCACAAGGTAGGCGCCGGATGCTCCAAACACCCACATACCAAGGGTAACCTTGTTCCGTCTCTTCTTACTCAATAAGTCAGTCGTCCTTTATTAGCTTCAGGCACTTAAATCTTCCTTAAAGCCACACAGCACACAAAGCTTCTCCTTTTCAGCAGTAATGGTGACAAAGGAGGCAAGATGAGCACATCTACCACTCTATATATATAAGTCTATAGCCTCTTTCCCTCTGAAATTACAGGGTTAATGCGGGTTTTTCAAGCACGGGTCGACCTGCTAACAATCAACATTTCGCTCCCTTCCCATTAGCAGAAAAAGCTGGGTCAAACCCCGCTGGAAAGCTGCATGTCCTCTATCCCCCCCCCCCCCCCCCCCCCCCCCCCCCCCCCCATCGCTGCTTGTCTGATATAATTACACTGGGTTAACGTTGATGATTTCATCAGTGCGACTGAAATCAGGAAAGTAAACAATGGAGAGAGACATGGAAGGGAGCCAGGGTGTAGATGGTATGCTTTAATATAAGGTTATCTTGTCGTCCTAATCTCTCTGACCAGTGCTGCAGTTTTTTTGGCTCGTTAGATGAGATGCAACTGACGTTATGTTGAGATGTTCGTACCAAGCCCTCAATGTTGTAACATAAATTAGCGGGCCAACCCGGGATTGATGTTCCCCATGTATTCTGATCGAGCAGAGCTGTCTCAAGGTGATTTTAAACTGAGCCGCTTGCCGAGTCGTTTGATCTGGGTCGACGTGGGTCAGTGAGTCGTTTCCACTGCCACTAAAAGCTGTTTTTTCCAGTGTTCAAATGTATTTTTTCGGCCAGTAGGAAAGGGGTGTAAGATTTCCCTGTAGGTGTAATTGATCTAAAAATAAGGGATTTATTTAAATGAGCACATTTGCTTTTCATCTGTAGATCAATGAAATTATCTACCAATGGAATGGGTAATTTATCCCAAATATAACATAATTGTTTACATTACACTTGAAATATGATGGCAATGTTTTTCCTTATTTAAAGTGTAAAAAATTGTATTCCATTGGCAGATCATTTTACTGACCTACACCAATCAAGTAACCTGACTCCGCCAGATGTATTTGCTCCGCATATCCATCTGGAAACCTTCCGTAGAAGTAATTTTGGGAAGGGGCGAAAATACTGGTTAGCTGATTGGCCTATGTTGGTGATAGACGGGCCAAATAAACCAATCAGATCATCGAAGCATATGACGTAACAGAGCGACGACGAAGAGGAGCCAATTGATAGATCAAACTCTTGCCGAAACCAGTCAGGAGAAGAGCAAAAACATCTTTTCCTCTGAGAAAAGCCTCCAGAGCAGTGTTTTGCTCTTCTTTCAGTGAAGAAATACTCTGTAATTCCGATAAAACCTGCTCGATAGCCACGCTAACGCTAGTTTCATCGGCTGAAGCCGCCATGTTCTTTAGACTGAACTGTCGCGCTTCTCGTTGCGTCACACCTCAACCCGCCTCAAAGCCAACGCTGATTGGACGTATGTTTGGTGAACGGCTCCAAATTTTCTTCAACGGAGAGTCTACAGTAGGGCTGCAACTAACGATTATTTTGAAAATCGATGAATCGGCCGATTATTTTTTCGATTAATCGATGAATCGGAAACAAAATATTTTTTTATATTAACCTCTTTATTCCAAAATAAACATTTTAGACAGAACAAACAAGCACACAAGTACAGGTTGCTCATTAACTGTACTGGTGCAATATGAAAAATAAATGTTTGTGTTAAAACTACGCGAACTTACGTGAGAAATGTAGCTGTACATCCACAAAATATAGGCTACTTTGTTTCATAAAGCGCAAAAAAAGACATTTTTGTTTTTTAAAGCCCCTAAGGGGTTCAAAAAATAGGTCCCCCCATTTCAACAAATTAGGTTTTTTAGACTAGAAGAGTTCTGCCTTTTAAGACAGGAAAGTATAGCAGTTAAAGTTGCTACTTGAGAAAATACTGAACCATAGAGATAAAAATAGCCCTGTGATTCAAATTATAAATTATATTTGGAATAAAAATGAGAGAACTAGGGGTGCTAAAAAACACATCCTCCAAAGACAGATATTTACATGGGAATGTGGCATATAATTAATTGATATATTACTGATCTTGCTGGATTTTATTCTGCTTTATTTCCATAAATTGCAGGATCTTTACTTTATCTTTGCCAGAAGATTTAAACTTTAAAAGCCTTGCCCTCATAATTTGCAAATTAATTTATTTATAAAGAAAATATAAACGCTGCTTAAGCTAATTCAAATGAAATTAAAAGTAAAATAAGAAGCCAACCTTATCCCTGTCTGTAACCTACTAACAAGCTAAGGAAAGCATCAGATGAGCTACCTGAGAAACTAACTTACGTTTCCCCACTTTAAAACGAAACAAACATGGTTACTCATCCTGCTGATCAGCTCTCTTCACTGCCATTGAAGGCTCCAACGTGTTTTCTTTTGGTGCTTCCGTGCCATGTTCATTTGTTTTTACAAAAGTTGCCTGTTACGACTTTTTTCGCTTTACAAAGCGCAGGCTATTTTAATTATTGTGATCAATTTGCGCCGTCAATCCCGGGGGAATGCGCGCTTCATTTGCAGTCTGGACGCTGAGGGTAAACTCCTCACTAAAATCCTGCGGCTCTGACTGCAGCGCTGAGAGGGATTCTTGTGGGAGAGGGAGAAAGGGGTTGGGATGGGGGAGGCGCCCCACGGCAGCAGCTGCCGCTGGAGGAGAAGAGTAGGAACGATACATGCTTTCACGTAAGAGTCTCCAAAAGCCTCCAGTGACACCGTAAAAAGTCGGCAGATTTGTCGCTAGTCGCTTTTTAAAAAAATTGTCGCTGGAGGGGTCTGAAAAGTCGCTGAGCTGGCAACACTGCAACTGCGGCGCTGACTCGCTCCGCTATATTTTTTTTTCTTCCCCGGGATGACGGCGGCGGATGACGCATTAATCGCGCGACACAACTAATCGATGATTAAATTCGTTGCCAACGCTTTTAAAAGTCGATTTTTATCGATTTTATCGATTCGTTGTTGCAGCCGTAGTCTCCAGACTGATTAGCGAGTGAAATCTTGAAAGCTCGCGAGATCAGGATGGTCTCACGAGGCTACCAATCAAGTGCAAATACACTTATTTAAAGCCCCTTCTTCTTTGTTTAAGTTCACTTCTTATAGTAGGGGCTGTAAAAATCAGTGTCCAGATTTCTGGTTTCCTACCATTCTAAAGATGCATGTCCCATCTTTGCAGCAGATGCAAAGCTTTACTTGGCGCCTCTTCCCTCTAGTCTGGATATTCTAGGAAATGTGTCCACTGTCTAAAACAAATTCACACATGGACTGGATGTTTTCCCTGTTGGCTTTATGATCAAATAAACCATCCTCAGTGATACCGTAATGAAAAAAAAAAAATGTCCAGAACCTGTTTAGCAAAACAAAAGATATTCCACCTCTCCTTTTTAAGGTTAGTATATAGTCCATTAAGGATGGCGTTTAAACAATCAATATAAAGCTGATTCATCTTTTTGATTTACTAACAAATGATTGATAATTAGCTGATAATGGATAAAAAACAAATACTTTTCTCCTTTATTAAAAGAATCTTTACATAACATAAAGGGCTAAATATTTTTAACATTGTGAATAAAAAATGGAACATAATATTTGAGCCATTTATTGTGCCAGCTGTTTTAAATACTGACGGAAAACAAAACGTGTTAATAAAGTAGTTATTATTTATAAGATTAAACAATACAGGTATTTTTTAGGTTACTAAATAATAAAAAAAATAATAATACATGTGAAACACTTATTAAATGAGATTTAAAACGAACTTAAAGACGGGGTATGTCGCTCTGACTATACTGTCAGACAGTGGCTGGCAGAGACTGGTTCTAGTTGCCCTTAGACGAACGTTCAAACTTGGCTACATAAAGTGAATTAATTTATGAAAGCCTTCTGCATCTACAGTGTTAATTTATAGCCTTTCTCTTCCTATTATGTTACAAACGTTTTGCATATATTGCCCTCCACTTTTCCTCCATTATGTCCTCGTCATCCGAGCTCAGCAAAGAAGTCGATGCTTCTCTGCCATGCAGCATGGCTAAATGACCACTATTTAGGAGAAAATGTAGTTTTTATTCAGGAATTTATATTTACAAACAGAATTGCATTCTCATTGCCTTTAAAAAGTATAAATAAATCAGATTAAACTCTTGATCAGTTTGTTTTGCAGCAATGCAACAGCATTCCTTCTAAGTGTATTTTTATCTAATAAACAATTAACAATTCAATTATGAGTCGATTACTTGTTTACATACCTGTTGTCGATCCAAGCTGTTTTTCCATGGTATTCTGTTATGTCCTGCTAAAGACATAAAAGCAGGGGATAGAGTTTTAATTTTCTCTTTGGATGCTAGATGCTTTTATTAGATCAACGGTTGTACAGTTTTTATATAGGTTTGTTTTAAGCTTGTTAGAATAATTGCCATTACCTTGACTCACTCTGTTTGGCCAGATCAAATTGGACATACTTTAAAATGTTTCCTGTTTGTAGATTTTTGCTGCTTTGGATTTGTTTAAACATCCAAAGTGTGTCTTAATAGGGTTTAATGGAAGCACCTTGAAAATGTTCCCCTGAAATTCCTTTCTGGAACCTTTTAACATTTATTTTAGGCCTTCTTATTCAGACAAGGGTGTGAATCCTGTGTTGCTGCCCCCCTGTGGCACATTTATTGTTTGTAAACTGCATCCATGCAGCTGATTTACATTCAGATTTGTATTACACAATGATTTTAAGTGTTTATTTCTTTTGGTTTCTATGATCATAGCTCACAGCTAATGAAATCCAGGTTTGTTTGTTTTGTTTAGTTTTACAAAGCTGTCAGTTTAGTGGGAACTTTCCAAGCCAGCTTGCAGCAGATGTGCTCCATGCTTGACTGGACCTCCTTCTGCTTGGATTAACGATCAGTACAGCGTAGCATGGAGGCCTTCAGCCTGTGGCTGGACTGTCGTGTTAAGGAAATCCAGGTTGCTGTGATCAAGCCCTTTAGCTTGTCTACGTTATCGGGTTTGATGGCGCCCAGAAGTTAGTGGAGAGCAGTAATGACCCGGTTATCACCGCATGTGTTGGTGCTTTTAGAAAAGTCCTGCAGCAGAATCACAGCCTTGATCCAACATTCTGACCAACCAGCCTCTGTATCAGTGACATCACTCTCCATCCAACAGACTTCTTCCTGATATTAGACACAATAAAACACTTCACTGATCAGAAATCTTTTTCTAGATATTTTGCATTTAACTTTTTAAATGTTTCCTTTGATTTGAATACTGAAATAAATGAACCTTTTCAGTAATATTTGAACTGATAGCGGTGGATCTGTGATGTTAGCGCATGTTGTTTTCTAATCCTTTAACACAAATAAGGAGGTAGATGAAGGTAAAAAGATCAAGTTTGGTTAGAAATTACTGGTCTCGATATGCTTCGACAGATGATTGAAATCCTTATTTTCCTCTTTGTGTTTCCTCTGAATTCCTCCTCAGAGCGGAACAAAGTTCAACGGGAAGGGCTACCACAACCCAGCGCCGGTGAACGGCGCGGCTCCAGCCAACCGCGGACACACCCACACACAGTACCACCGCAACTCCTGGACACGGCGCAGGAAGAGGGACAGCCTGCCGGTCAGCCTCAGCAGATAGAAACCACTGCTCATCCTTTTTTTTTTCCCTCCGTCTCTTTTTCCGGCTGCAAAACTCAAGTTTTCACTCATGCTGGAGGAGGACGAACAGACGGGCGCGCGGGCAGGAACAGGATGAGAGACCAGCTGCTTTCACTACGGCGGCTTCTTTCATCTACTGCAGTAGCATCCCTTTAGATCTACATCTTCCTCCTTTTTTTCCGTTTCTGCGCAGCTTTCTTCTTTGATGGTTTCAGTATTATGTTCCCGTCAGTATTGTTCCCTCTCCCTTATTTCAGGTTACTTGTTGTTTTGTCGGTGGTAACGGCAGTACCAGCGTCACTTGACCTCACTCTAACCCCTGCAGCCAAGCAGCTCGTTGTTTGGTGTTACACTTGTTTTTTTTTTTTGTCTTGGTTTTTTTTTTTTTTTCAGCACACTTATAAACAAACCATTTTTTGTGTTTGGTGCAATATTGTTTTTTTTTTTTTTTCAAAATTAATGCTGTTATTTAATTTTGTGTATGTACGTAAAGGCATTCTATATTTTATTTTTGTAGTTTTAAATTTGTTTACAACAAAACGTTTCCCTGGGTGAGATCTCTGGAGGTTTAGAGCGCGTATCTGGGGGTGTGAGCCTCTCTAAATGCGCTCACCTGTTTCATTTGGCACCAATGGGGGTCAAAAAGGAACTTTGATTGCAGGTTCATTTCATTTTTCTTTTTGTTTCATACCATGTCTTATTGCAGCGGCATGGACGCCACATTTCAGTGCAAGAGATGATGGAGGGAGGGAGAAAAGGGCAACCAGAGAGATCTTTGGTGGGAGGGGGGTAAGGTGGATTCCTGCAGGCCCACCTGGTGATTGTGTAGATCTCTGTAGGTTGACTCATGGTGAATTTTTAAAGGGAAGCTTTCATACAGTGCTTCTGAGCTTTCCTCCATTCACTACACTTTTTACGGAGGGGCGGGGCTTACTTGAATTTAATGATTAATGTTCAAGGAATGAAAGACCTCATGTGTTAAATTTGTCTCTAATAGTTGGAGATTAGTGCAGACAGACGATAGTAAGAAGTTTGGCAATGAGGTTTTCTTTTGAACGAGTGGAAAAGTGGTGGGAATAATTTTTTTTTTTTTTGCAGGGGTGGTGGGGGTTCTTCTTGAACCAAGGACCTTAGGAAAGGGAATTGTATTTTGATTTCATTCAGGAATCTTGTGTATGTAATTGCCAGGTACTTCCGCCAATTGTCCGCGACGCCTTTCTTTGTGTTTACTTGGAGCACACGCGCTCAGACGGCTCAAGGCCGTGACCCGAGCAGAACACTAAACGCTGGTGTTACTACTATGCAAACGGACTCCTCTGATTATCGTGTCAACTCTTGTATGTTCTCATGACAGACGCCGCTCGTTGGATTGAGCCAACTCATGTAAACGCCAACCTCTCACACCCATTTTTTTTTTTTTTTAAATGAAGTTCCTCATGTTCTCAAGTCTAGTTTTCTACGTGTCATACAGCAGGAGTAGGGGGGGATTGTTCTGCCAGAGATTAAGTCTGGGTCGGTGTAGTGTGTGTGCGTGTGTGTGTGTGGTGCGTGTGTGATGTAGTAATAACGTGTGTGAGAAACGTGAGACTTTTGACTTGCCAATGCAGGTTTTTTTTTTTTTTTTATCAAAAAGCCTGATGGTTCACAAACATGTGCACGTCGGAGAGCGGCTTGCTCTCTGCCGGCGCACAACACCAGGGCCCAAAGTGTGCAAGAACAATTCTTGAGTTTTTACTGAGATTTCCTTCCGCACTGTTAAAGTATTTATATGTCTTGGTTTCTTTTTTTTTTTTGTTTGAAAGAAAGCTTGGCAACTCTAATCTGTCAGTCAAAGCAGCATCTGGTGTCCTTTTTTTGTTACGTTAAACCAAAAACCTAAAGGAAAAAAAACAAACAAAAAAAAAAAAATCACTTTTTTTTTTTTTATGTATTGGGGGAGGGAATTGAGATGTTGGTTAAAATGCCTGGCTAAAAATAATCCTCGCTACAGATAAAATCCCTGCCGAGGTGGATGTAATTGGCATGTTGAACTGATCAGAGGCTAGAAATTAAATGAGGAAGGTGCTTCGCTGGGTTAGAGTTGCCTACAACAAACCCATAGAAGCCTGTATGGGTTCAAATTCTGTGCGTCTCAGCGGTCCAAAGCAGCTGCTCTTGTTTCCTCTCATTCACCCAATTGGTGGTGGCGGTTAAACAGTTCAACAACTGTCTTATTCAGCTTCTTTTCCTCATTACCTTCACTTGTTCAATTAGGTGTTTAAGAACAAAACGAGGTGAGCAGCAACTGGAAGTACAGAGAGTCGCCTGGAACGCTGAGATTTACATGTTGATTCAATGTTTTTCTTTTTTCCCCCCATTCTCACTGGAAAACAATAAGGGATTTTAATTGGTGACTGTGGCAAAGAATATAAAATCCATCACCATACAAGTCAGTACATGTGATCAGTGGTGCTCGGGTTGGACACTCATAAACCAGTGACCAGAAGGAAACCATTGCCAAGCTTTTGTTTGGGGGGGACATTTTTATGTAAATATATTTTTTTCTATTTTATTTTTTAATAAACATTTTAAAACTGCCAATTCCTTGTATTCTTTTTTTTTTTTTTCTGGAGTTATTTAATATCAGCTGTAGAGCTTTGCATCATTACAAGTAACCCATAGAAAGCAGAAGTCCTTCTAAGATATATACAGTTAAAACAAAAAAATTTAACTATATAAAAAAGTATTCACTGTATGATATTAGATTAAGCTTTTCCTATTTAAGTTCAGGTAGTATTGGGTAGAATTGCATTTCTAACCTCATCTCCTGACATAATTGGGATAAGCATTTCTATTCTGAACAGGACTAAAAATCTGTGCCCCCAAGAGAGCATGCAGCTCCTCCATAAAATGTAGTATGCATGCCAGGCACTGGGAGCAGTGTGACGGAAACCTCAAACGGTCAAAAATGGTCATACCTAGTAAACATGGCGCCAAGGGAACTTAAAATCATGTTAACTTTATAGTTGATTAGAAAAATCTGTGATTTAAGGTATCCCTAATCAAAAGTGGGAGACAGAATGAGTGAAAAGGTTAAGATGAAGATTTAGACATGGGGCTTATTTCTGCATTGTTTAAAATACAGAAACATTGTACAAGAAAGTAAGACAAATAGTATTTATATGAAAGAAACCACAGGATGTAGTGATTTTCAGTAATATATTTTAACATGGCATGGGTTCTTTAGCTTGATTTGTTGCACCATGAAACTTAAATGCCTCCGTATTTTATCAGAGCAGAGCTACAGTAGTAGCCTTTCAAAATTTCCCCACTTTCCTTGATGGGCTCTTCGCTGGTCCCCCTTCAAATTCTCTTTAAACAGCAATACCTTTAATAAAACACTCTTTCTGTCATGATTTGTGGACATTAAAATCTAAAGTGAAGCTTCAAACTCCTGGTCAGACCCTGTAATTCAGTGAAAGGGTGGAGTCAGCGTAAAAAAACAAAAGCAAGAGGGGGTCAATACAGTGGCTGGAAGTGGGCTGCCATTCGACTGCCGTTTCACCAGAAAGGGCCATTTTAAATGGCTGCTACTGTATGTTGGGTCCAATTTAGATTTCCGAACTGTATAAAAAAAAAAGGGTTGAATATGCTGGTTGTCAGGGATCCATTTTCAACGAATGCCCTCCTTATGGAGATTGGATGACTCATTTTAGTCAGTTCCTCCATGTCAAAAGATAACCATAATGACATCCGTTAAATTACTGTTTGGTAGTTTAACAATTCCAGGGTAATCTAACGTCAGGGCATGCAGTTGCTTGGTTTTCAAACCATTTAGAAAAGGAAATGCGATGGCCTTTGATCTGAATTTGTTGGTGTTTACAAGGGTGTGCCATAAGGATCTGTTTTTGGGCCTCTCTTATTTATTTTCTACATCAACAATAAGGAAGAAAGTTCCTCTGATGCTAATATGCATTTTATGGCCGATGATACAATTATTTATTGCTTTGGGTAAATATTGAAACAGGCTGTTAATTCCGTACAGAAAGCCTTTTGTTCCTGCATAGTATTCATTTACGAATGTTAAATTATTTATCAATGCAAACACGACAAACAGGTTTTCTAATCATAAGAAGGTGCGTCAAGCTGCCCTCTCCAAAATGTTACACTGAGTAAAAGATGTTATTGCTGTGATGTGGGACGGGTAAAAAGGAAACTACAGAGTCCTACATTCCTTTGGGTAATCATCTAACATCGCTCTATCCATCCATCCATCTATTTTCTCACACGCGTATCCCAAGTGGGGTCGCGAAGGGTGCTGGTGCCTATCTCCAGCTGTCTACGGGCGAGAGGCGGGGTACACCCTGGACAGGTCGCCAGTCCATCGCAGGGCAACACAGTGACAACCATTCACAAACACACTCACACCTAAGGGGAATTTAGAGAAGCCAATTAACCTAACAGTCATGATTTTTGGACTGTGCGAGGAAGCGGGAGTACCTGGAGAGAACCCACGCATGCTCGGGGAGAACATGCAAACTCCATGCAGAAAGACTCTGGGCCGGGACTCAAACCCAGAACCTTCTTGCTACCCACTGTTTCACTGAGCAGCCCTAACAACACTCCATTTTGTCATTAATTTCAATTACAATAAAGGGAATTTATAAGTGTGGAATGTTTTACTGGTGAGTCTATGTACCTTTGAAGTTATGTGGGGGTATAATAGAGGGAGTTGGTGTAAATCTAGCTGAAACCACACATTAAACTCTATGAAAATAATCAAGCTAGTCTAATAAATTGAACAGAAATTTTCATGATTCTGCATTTCTTGGTTCTGTTGAAGTTTTATGAGTTTTCAGTTATACTTTGATTCATGTTTTTTGGTGTTTTCTAGTTTATTGGTTTCATTTCCATTTTGTGTTCTAGTTGTTTTTGAGTTCTTAGGTATTTCTTGTTTGCTCTCTGTTGCCATCTTGTGTCAGTCTCCTTTTCCCAAGGTCCCTTCTAGACTCCTCTGCCCACATCTGCTCCCAATCTGCTAATTAGCCTGGTCTTTGTTCAGTCTCACATCTATAGACCTGATGTTCAGTCACTGTTTGCTGGTTCCTTCTTGTTGTTAGTTGCTTTCTCGTCTCTGACTCTCCATGTGTGTTTTCCCTGAGTTTTGGATGTCTGCCTCTTTAAACTAACAAGAACTCATCTCTGATTCTCTCATCTCTGCATTTTGGTCCTCAAGCGACCTCCCCCTCCTAGTTGACAGAAATGTTTCCTTTAATCATTTTAGAAAGAAAAAACAGATGTCATTGCTTGGTAATGTTCGACATGATATGAACATACAGGTTGCTCCCCTGTTGAAGACATTTAACAGAAACAATGTGACGGCTGGAAGTCAGGGAGGTG